CAGCTCCCTAAGCCCTGCATGATCATGGGTGATTTGAACGGACATAACCCATTATGGGGACATGTTACCATAAATCCTAAGGGGAAAATACTTTAAGATTTTATTTCTGATAACAATTTATGCATTTTTAATGATGGATTAAATACCTATTTACATCCTGCTACTGGAACTAATTCCGCTTTTGATCTGTCACTAACAGATTCAAATATCTTGAACGAATTTATGTGGTCGGTCCACGATGACTTGTGTGGAAGGGACCATTTTCCTACAATATTAACAGCAAATAATCCATCTGATGTTCCACCTACATCAAGGTTGAATTTTATCAAGGCCAACTGGCCTTCCTTTCAGGAACTCTGTAAAGACAGATTAACACCTGATTTGTTCAGGACCGTTACCGACCCAATCCAATCGTTTTGAGATAAGCTGAATGAAATTGCTGATATCACCATCCCTAAGTCCTCTGCAAATCCACACATTCGAAAACAATGGTTTGATAATGAGTGCAAACAGTCTAGGAAGAGAAGGAAAAAGGCTGAGAAATATTTCAGCTGACATCCAACTGTCCATAATTTAAATCATGTTAAAATTACAAGTGCCCAGGCACGCCGTACCTTCAAGCAAAATAAACGTAAGTCTTGGAGGAATTATGTCTCTAAAATTAATTCTCGCCTATATCCAAGGTGTGGAACATGATCGCAAAAATTAAAGGCAAAGGTTCAAAATCGAGTGTTCAACATCTCAAAGATCTCAAAATGGAGAAGACTATAATGAGGTATTTTCGCTCCACGAGCTAAATACTGCCTTAAGTCAAGCCCACGATACTGCAACGGGAGATGATAATATTCATTATCAGCTCCTGAAGCATTTGCCTAATTCATGTTTAGACACGCTTCTTGATATATTTGATCAGATCTGGACATCAGGAAATTTTCCGCCTTCGTGGCGTAATGCAATAGTTGTACCCATACCTAAACCTGGTAGGGACCATACTGATGCACCCAATTATCGACCAATATCACTAACCAGCTGTGTGTGCAAAACCATGGAGCGAATGGTAAACAATCGACTGGTGTGGTACTTAGAAACTAATAATCTCATAAGTAACATACAATGTGGTTTCCGTCAAAATAGAAGTACCATTGAACATCTGGTACGTTTACAATCCTTTGTCAAAAATGCAATTGTAAATAATCAGCATGCAGTATCAATCTTTTTTTTATTCAGAAAAGGCGTATGATACCACTTGGAAGCATGGTATTTTAAAAGATCTACATAATTTGGGGTTAAAAGGCCGTTTGCCTCAATCTATATCCCAACTTTTAACAGACCGACAATTTCAGGTTCGTGTGGGTTCCACCCTGTCTGACCATCATAATCAGGATCAGGGTGTTCCACTAGGCAGTATTTTGTCTGTAACTCTGTTTAGTATAAAGATTGATAGTCTGTCAATGGTTTTAAATGATTCCATTGATGGTTCTCTTTTTGTGGACGATTTTAATATTTCATGTCTTGGAAAAAAATGCGTACTGTATCGAAAAATGGTGTCTTGAAAATGGTTTTAAGTTTTCAAAAGTTAAGACCAATTGTATTCATTTTTGTAGGAAATACAAGCATCACAAAGATCCGGAGCTCTTTTTACATGGCACTCCTACCAAGGTTGTAGAAGAGGTCAAGTTCCTGGGTCTCATTTTCGATCACCATTTAACTTTTAAGCCAAATATTAACTATCTTAAAACTAAATGCCTGAAGGCTCTAGATTTGTTGAAAGTTGTTGCCAACACAAAGTGGGGAGGTGATCAGTCAACCCTCCTCGACTTGTATAGGTCTCTGATCCGCTCTAAATTAGATTATGGCTCCATCGTTTATGGTGGAGCCTGTAAGAGCAATTTACAAAAGTTCCGTGGAAAGCCTATATGTTGAAGCTGATGAACCTTCATTGAAGCAACGGCGTATCAAATTATCGCTTCAATACATTGCCAAATTACGTTCTAACCCGTTAAACCCTGCATATAACTGTATATTTCAACCCCTTTACGAATAACTTTTTCATAGTAAGCCTAAGCTGGTCCCACCACTAGGCATTCGGATTAAACCCCACATTACAGCCGCAAATATTGATTTAGATAATATTTCACCTTTCAGGCTTCTGTCTTCCCCTCCTTGGCAACTTATCAGACCGGAGGTGGACTTTACTCTTACACAATTTAAAAAAATCAGACATAAATAAATTAATATACCAACAAGAATATATACAAGTTAGAACTAAATATGAATCCCACCGTTCCATTTTTACAGATGGATCCAAGGACGGCAGCACAGTCTCCAGTGCTGCTGTCATTGAATCTAAAACCATATTATCCCGATTATCTGACCATAGCTCAATTTTCACAGCTGAAGCCAAAGCCATATTAATGGCTTTGGAATATATTCAAAAACAATCTAGCAGTAAACGGTTCATCATCTTTTCAGATTTACTTTCTTGTTTACGGGCAATCAAATCGAGCTCTTCAAGTCATCCATTCATTTTAGATATTTTAGAATTGTACAATGACCTTGCTACCGGCAAATACGACATCGTCTTTTGCTGGTTGCCCAGTCATGTTGGAATCACGGGTAACACTATGGCTGGCGCTGCAGCAAAAGCAGCTCTCAGCAAATCAGTGACACCACTTCTTCTACCATACAGTGACTACAAACTTTTAATTAGATGCTATATCAAAGACCTTATGCAAAAGAAGTGGGACACCCAAGTAGGTACTAATAAATTACATGCAATAAAACCAACTATCGGTTACACTTACTTGGGTTGTCAGTCCAGATTTGATGTGGTCATAATGAGACGGTCATGTCCAATTAGTCATACGCCGATTTGTAATACTCCCAATAGTTATACAGCAAATGAGGGATTAGTTAAAACCAAAATAGGCATATACCCTTTGGTCAAAATGGATTAGTCCACTAATTAGAAAGCTGGGATTAGTTTATTATGAAAACATAACATACATTGAAGTTATTTGAACATAATACATGACAGTCTTTGATAATCAAAACATTCAAAGTAATGTTAATTAAATAAATACCTATGATGTTTAAGGAACAAGTACAGGATTCATCTGAAACTATTTACTGTTCTTTACTGAGTTAATTTGAGTTTACTCAATTTAGTGAAAAAACAGAAACTAGTACATAAAAGTGTCTATGTTTTAGACTCCAGCATATCACTCTTGTTATCATGGCAGGATTGATTGAAGTGGAATATGTTACTTCTAGGCGAGGTACACAGCAGGTACTGTTTCAAAGTCACCTTCACAACAAGAACTTGCCGTGGTAGAGTTACAACAGTTGGAAACTATGTCAGGAACACCACTCCTCATAACCACGGCCCACAAGAACCTGACACAGTTAGATTTGTCAGTAACATGAGGAAGAGGGCCAGAGAAGAGATCACTCCGATGCCAACCCTGTACCAGTAGTACCTCATCTACCATCCTACGCAAGTCTCAGCAGTGCTCTTTACCGGCATAGACGACACACCATACCAGCACTCCCACTGGCAAGAGGTGATGTGGAACTTGAGGGAAAGTGGACTGAGACAGCTGACGGCCAACCATGCCAGAAGATGTTCGAAGACCTACCCCTTGGTGTTTGCTCTTCTTCCAGTTGGCCAGACAACAACCTACTGCCGGCTTTTCCACCGACTGAAGGCAGAAGTACAGCAGAAACTCAACAGAATCCTCGCTCCTGTCACCGTTCAGACCGACTTTGAGCAAGCCGCCATCCGAGCTATCGAGACTGAGTTTCCTGCAGCCAGAATGAGAGGATGTTACTTTCACTTCACCCAAGCCATCTGGATGAAAGTACAAGACTTGGGGTAAACTGTCCCATACCAAGAAAATCCTCAGGTCAGACGCTGGGTCAGAAGAGCATCATCCCTGGCTCTGTTATCGGAAGCTGACGTCCAAGATGCCTGGGTCGACGCCATGGACGATACGCCAGAACTAGACAACACTCTATATGTTGTTTTAACCCGTATGACTAATGGGCCGTATGACTAATGGGAGGACACCAATGCGAAGATGTCGTTTTGGCCATTCGCGTTATACACATGAGTATTTATTGCAAGGTGAAGATCCTCCATTTTGCATCCCTTGTGATGAAAGAATCACGGTCAAGCATGTCCTGCTTGACTGTATTGATTTTTCCATCACAAGGGATAATTATTTCCAGGTTTTATCCATAAAGGATCTTTTTAATGTAAGCTCTCATTTAATTCTTGGATTTTTAAAAGAAATTGAGTTAATAGATAAATTTTGATTACATGTATTGTAAAAAGTATGTGATCTTAATTTGGTAGAATGATTCAATTACTGTGATTATTTGTGGCTGTACCTTCAAAGGGGGTTGAAGTATCGTAAAATAACTGTCCCCCTGAGAGGGTGCGTAAGTCCCACTTCCTTCAAAGTATGTTTCATTTTCCTTGATTTTAATCGTAGTATGCTTGTTGTTTTAAAATACTTTGGCTTCAAATGACTAATAATCACCAGTAGCCAGAGGGATGGTTTAAATCCTGCTGGGGTACCATGCAGGAAGCAGATGTACCGTAAGTCCCCATGGTCCCTAGTATGGTGTCCTAACTTTGGTTGCTGGTGATCTCTAGCCCATTTTTATAATGTATTGTTCAGAGTACTCACATTTCTATGGTAACATGTTAGTTTTAAAACTATATCTGCGATAGACTAGTGCTTTTACTGTCCTTTGTCGACAGGTTGTAATATCTATATGAATGTATTATTACTGTATAACTTGATTTAGTCACTATATGGCTGAAATATTGCCGATATGACTTTAAATCTTAACTCACTCACTCAACAAAGTCAGCGAGCCTGACCACCCGATCCCGTAAGTCGCCTTTGACGACAAGCATAGTCGGCCTTTACGGCAAGTATGGGTTGCTGAAGACCTATTCTACCCCGGATCTGATATTTACAGGTACTCACATTTCAAGAGATGGTGAGGCTTGTACTGTATCTTGCTGGACAGAAAGTAAACCCCGGTGTCTCTACACTGCTGATTTTCTACATGACTGACAAAGACGTCAGGCTCTCCAAGCGGTGGGTTGGAATAAGTACCAGAGTCAGAATCATAACCATCCTCCCCCCTTGTAGCAGACGACAAATCTGAAGCAGACGTGTGGGCCAGTTCAGTAGCAGACGACACACAGCTAGGAGGCTGTTGGGCAATCTCCACAACCTTGTCAATGACCTTGTTATAGTATGAATCATTCACAAGGAGAATCTTTGTAACTTCTTTGTAAACGTCCGGAACTTCTTTCGGCGTAGATTTGACGTGTATGAATAAATATTTCTGAGTTTGGTGATCTCGGAGAACGTCAGTTAAACTCGATAGGCGGTTGATCATGTCAGGGCACAGGTGTATTATTGTCACAAGGGTGCTTTCCACAATTTCCTTGAACCTCTTCACAAAAGTAGACCCGATGCCATAATCCCCCCTCCCTTCCATGACACAGACGACCCCCCGGGTCTCCAGATCTTCACACATTCGAGCATACTGTATTTCACAGTCAACATTCAAGCATGTGGCTATATGTACGCGAGCGTCCGACATCTTGGTAGTAGAATCAACTGTATTCACACTGTTGTCGTCACGAGACACAAGGCTCCTTCAATAAACAGATAACAACCCGCACATGTACAGTAGATGTAACATCTGATGTAAGAATAAATATCTGCACTACATGTACATACACGTCACCTGACGTGACGATAGAGAGAGATACGAGACTGAGCTTGTATAATTACAGACACAGATGAACATCGGAGTGACACCAAGTCTGAAAAGCTACTGAGCAACATTCATGTGTGTTTATCGTCATAGGTGACTATCGTCGCTATATCGCTGAAATAATGGCGATGCGACGTTAAATTTTAGCTCACTCAGAGGCGACTAAATGGGTAGGTGTTTAGGCGTGGCGACTTAGTTGATAGCATCTCATCATACGCTGGCGGCGTGGGACGATGTCTGCATGAGCATCAATCACTTGATTGCATGTTTTCGATGATTTTTGGACAATGCTTCAGTGAATAGATTATTCATAGATTATTCACAGAGAGGCTGGTGGTATCGCTGTGTGTGTCTCAACAAACAAACATCTATCGATAAACATTTGTTTTGTCTTACCAAACGGTTCAATGAATATTTCTATCACTAGAGAAATAAAAGAGTCATATATTTGCCCTCAACCATGTTGTAACTGGTAGGTTCCATAAATATTTGGAATTTTGTACATTTATATGTGTCAATTGCTCTTTCACGAATGTTATATTTTCCGCCTTAATTATCCTAGCCGTAATATTAATTGCTGTGATATTTACAGCTGTAATATTTACCGGATTGAGAAAAGGGTATCCTTACCCTGACACATCTTCAAAAAAATGTCACATTTCGAGAGGACAACCGGTTACATAAAACTATTGTGAGTTAAGTTATATGATAACAATTACGCAACAGGACAGCTGACAAAGACATCTGTATCTCTTGTACTCAAACATGTGCTGAGATAAAGTTTTTTTAGGATGGCAGTCCGATAATGCGAAAGGGATGCAAGCTAGGCTGTTATCGATTCCTCACAAGTAAGTGTTTGTTGCGTGACTTCACGCAGCAGTACTCCCGCCATACGACGGCAGCCTGTGAACAATCGCGTCTTGACTAGACTAAAGTGATCGACCAGTAAATCCAGTGACACGATAGCGCAAGAAAATAAAAACGATATGTTAAACTCACGAAACAATGTTTGATTTCAGGTTCTCTCTTTTCATGAATTATTCCGTCCTATATTCCTCAACTATCCAAAGTAGTCGATTTTCATCCTCTGCATGAGTGAGTGAGTGAGTGAGTGAGTATGGTTTTACGCCGCTTTTAGCAATATTTCAGCAATATCACGGCGGGGGACACCAGAATTGGGCTTCACACATTGTACCCATGTCGGGATTCGAACCCGGGTCTTCGGCGTGACGAGCGAACGCTTTAACCACTAGGCTACCCGACCGCCCCTCCTCTGCATGACATCCTGTGATACAATCTTATTGATTTACATGTTATAACCCATTGTAAATATAAAACGGAAAAAGCAGAAAAATACCCAGCCTCTTATATACCCCGATACAGATTCTATTGGGTGTAAACTGCGAAAGAGTGGTGAAAATTATATGGGGTGAAAACTATTAATGTTCTGTCAAGTGTCTAACGCTATACAATAACTTAGTCCAGCCTTTAACTCTTTTGGAACAAGTCCTTTTTATTTATGAAACTATAGCACACATTGACATGAGAGATTTGGGGCCCATTGAGGGTTTTAAGGGCTCGGTACGTACCGGTATTATCACATTATTTCCACTTACAATGGGGGAAAATGAATCACAGCGAGTATGTTCTGGTCAGTGTGACATTCATGTCTTTTGCCTTAAGGTAATGATCAGATTCCGTCTGAAGTCAGTCATACGCAGGAAGTCTCATCATATTGCTGTCCCTGACTCGTGCTGTGTTGTGAATGAAACTGGTCATGCACACAACTGCTGCAGGGAAAAGAATAGGGACAAGGCAGGTAACTCTTATAGCAACAATGCACGACACACACATGAACATAGGCAGACCAACTTGTGTCCCACGTTCACCTTCTATTCTGATACGTCTACCCTTATCCGTGAATATTCCGGGGTAGAATAGGTCTTCGATCATCAACACATACATGCCGTAAAAGGCGACTATACTTGTCGTAAATAGGCGACTAACGGGATCGGGGGGTCAGGCTCGCTGACTTGGTTGATACATGTCATCGATCCCCATTGCGTGGATTGATGCTCATGATGTCAATCACTGGATTGTCTGGTCCACACGCGATTATTTTACAGACCGCCGTCATATAACTGGAATATTGCTGAGTGTGGCGTTAAACAACAAACAAAACAAACAAAAACCCTTATCCATACTACATATAATATCTTAGTGCTGGTGTAGTTGGCTCAAACGATTCCCCTAAATTTGACTCTAGCCAGGCTCAAATCACTCCCTCTAGGCTAAGCTAACTCCCCTACTGGGTCCAAGTGACTCCCCTTGTTTTGAACTAAATTAATTACAGAAAAGATCAAACATATGTTGTATTATAAAGGTTTTCAACCCCTCCCTCATTTTCTATTCTGAAATGTCAGGTTAAGAACAATCCCACATATTGTTTGTCAGGTGTTTTAGTACCAGTTATTTTATTACAGTTTTATATTTAACATTATTTGGAAAAAACTCCAGGTGCCTCTCTTAAATGACCATACAAAAAACCTCTGATTTATTATCAGAATACTCTTTGTGTCCTACATCCGATTCTTTGATAACAGACTCAAACCACTCCCCCTGTTCTATATCCGATTCTTTGATATTAGGCTCAAACCACTCCCCCTGTTCTATATCCAATTCTTTGATATTAGGCTCAAACCACTCCCCCTGTTCTATATCCGATTCTTTGACATTAGGCTCAAACTACTCCCCCTGTTCTATATCCGATTCCTTGATATTAGGCTTAAACCACTCCCCCTGTTTTATATCCGATTCTTTGATATCAGGCTCAAACCACTCCCCCTGTTCTATATCCGATTCTTTGATATCAGGCTCAAACCACTCCCCCTGTTCTATATCCGATTCTTTGAAATCAGGCTCAAACCACTCCCCCTGTTCTATATCCAATTCTAAAATTTAACACGTTCGGTTCCAAATTCAATTTAGCGGGGTTAAATCTACAGGTAACCTAGCTCTACATTGAAAACACAGTATGTTTATCTCCTAAATATCACTAATTCAATATTTGATATTACAGAAATCATTTAGTAATGTTTATAATTCATTTATATTATACATAGGTATAATTTCTATGACTTTCTCCCTCTCCACTTTCAACTAAGTATACTTGTCCTGTGATGTGAGAAGGCTTTGCTTGCACTTAATGGTATTAGTAAAGTCGCTACCCAAAATGGTAGAATCTGTGAAGCTAGTTTTGTGTGCCCCCAAGACGCATGAGACAATACTCATTCCCTCCACGTTGATGTTATGCGCCTGTCTTGCTTCTATGCATACAGCATACCTGACGGATCTCGAGGCAACTTTAAGCAGGTGGTCGTGCAGCAGGAACTGGAGTCCCAGCCGAGCGACATAGTTGGTGTCTTAGCGTAGTGGCCATAAGGTACGTACAATATCTAAACATTCGTCCAACCGGGTGACCAAGTCTACTTAAGCATCACAATTCGTCGTGCGAAGTTACGACCCATAGCCTTGCTCACTGGTTTCTCAGAAGCAGTACGCGTCTATGGGCTGCTTCATTTTGGACCCTCCTGACACATCAAAATGAAACAATGCAAAAACTGAAAAACTGCTCGGCGGGATTAAATCAAACTCACTTATTCACTCACTAACTCAACCAAACAGAAATGTCCTGTGCTTGAGAAACCAAGTTAACCAAAGTGATGTTATTGCTTTTCCATAGATTTTGTATCCACACTAAAAAATCCTTTCAAGCAAGGCTAAAGGTTAGCAGGGATCTCCAACATATTTCTTTGTTCGAGACAAAAAAGCAATATTTCTCAGAAAATCCGCGTATCGTAATCGAACTTTGCACTGCACATCTCCTATTCGTATAGAAACCGGGACGGTAAATCACATAAATAATTTCTCCAAGCAATCTACTAGAAGTGTCGCCTTGACAAATAACACGTTCCACAACCTGGTGTAAACTATACAGCCTTAACTAGAAGTGGATCCTCTGAAAAGGGGCATTAGAGGCCTAGAAACCTCCATACGCAGGAACTAGTTTAGTATTGATCGGAACACAATGCTGTGTTATCGGTGAAATTCCAGAAATACCAGAAAAGGGATGAGACAACCATTCAATTAAAACCGCCCCCTTGCACCAAAGCCAACGTTTAAAACTCATGACAACTTTTGTTTAAAAGCTGCAGTTATTTTAAAAGGTCCTGCTTTGTTACCAGTGGCGACATCAGGTTCCTTTGTTGCTTCAAAAGAACAGTACGACGATCTTCCATGACCAGCTAAACCACCAACATCACCACGCACACCCTCCTTCATAAACACCTCCAACCCCCCCACGCAATTGGGATCGATGTCATGCATCAACCAAGTCAGCGAGCCTGACCACCCGATCCCGTAAGTCGCCTTTTACGACAAGCATGGACACCTTTTACGGCAAGCATGGGTTGCTGAAGAGCTATTCTACCCCGGAATCTTCACGGGTCGGATCACATTGTAACAGGCTACATGGGAATATGTTTTACATGCTGTATGTAGTTTTGAACGTGTTATGAAGAAACCACCTTTACACGCTGGGGAAGACGTTTTGACGAAATATAATATGTGACCATGTTACAATAAATATAATACATCTAAACAGTCGAAACTTGTTATATCGAACCCCCTTATCTCGAATGTATCGATATCTCGAACTTATTCTTCGGTCCCGACCGGCTCACTACATGAACATATATAAATTTGCGAGCTTATCTTAAGATCGAGAAAAAAGTACGTAGCGCTATCCCGAACTTTGACTTTACTGTTGAATTTTGTACCTTTATCCCGAAGTTGGGGTTGGCCACATGAACAGTTTTCAGAAGTGCAAGTATATCTAGTACCTTTCCTCACAAGCTAATTACATCGCTGTCATAGAACTGTGCAATTTAAACTA